TTTTTTAAATTTGTACTCTAATATAAATATATTAAAATGTATTATAAAATAATGATACAAATCTCAATTTTTTTATATAAATACTCTAGGAATTCAACAATATTTTTGTAAAGTTATCTTGAGATGCAGACATTAATTGTTTAATAAATAAATAAAATTTGTTATTTGTTATAAACTAATGGTGAATCTCAGTGAAACTTTGCATAAGCCATGTTTAGTACTTAATATATTTATATAAAAACATTTAGAATTTTCTTATTATTTTAACAATTTTTGTTTATAACAATAATAACTTTGTTAAAACCAATTGTAGAACAACTTCTTCAGAAAGCTGATTCTGCTGGTTTATACGTTCATTCTGTAACTTCCGATATGAGTCCTGTAAATTTAGGTATGTGGAAAGCATTCGGTGGCATTATCGGCAATAGAAACTCAGAAGTCAAATGTTATATTCCTCACCCTACAGATAGTAATCGAAAACTTTTTTTCATTGCCGATGCTACCCATTTATTAAAAAATTTGAGAACAACTTTAGTAAATAATAATAAAGTAATAGAGTTACCTGAGGAATTTCTTAAAACACATAATTTATCATATCCTATTGTGAATTGTAAACATGTAAATGAATTAATAGATATTCAAGAAAATTTGCAGTTTAAACTTGTACCAAGGATTACAAAACAAGATATGAAGTGCACTACATTTAATAAAATGAAGGTCAGTAAGGCAACAAATTTATGGAACCGAAATGTTAGCAGCGCTATGAATTTTTATGCTGAAGAAAAAGGGAAAACAGAATTTTGTACAACTGCGGCATTCATTGAAGTTATTTCGAAATGGTTCACTTTAATAATTGCACGGTTCCAAAAGTTTGGACTCCAAAAGTTGCATTAGGTTTTAGTTAACAGCAAATAATGACAAAGAAACAAAATTCAAATCTAATATTGCATTTTTTCGATCTGTTGTGGAATTATTCAAAAACATAAAAATTGGTCAGAAGTCAATATTTAAACCAGTTAAAAGTGGCATCATAATTACTACGAGTTCATAGATTTAACTCAGTACCTTGTGCATGATCGAAGATATCAATATGTTTTAACGGCCCGATTTACTCAAGATTTCGTAGAAAACATTTTTTCTTCTATAAAAGTTAAGCACCTTACTCCCACTGCATTACAATTTCAGCAAGATCTTAAGCTTATTACCGTATCAAACTACCTGAAATCACCACATACTCCGAATTATGACAAAGATGAGGGTGAAATTATTGGATCTTTTTTAAATACTCATAAAAAAGTCAAAACAGTAGATAAATGTACAGAATTTGTTTTGCAGCCAAAGGACAACATATATATTGATAACATTGAACTAAATATATTGTACAATGTAGCAGGTTACTTAATCTCAAGTATTACTAAATGTACTAGAGTATGCTCAAAATGCTTGGATTCTGTTGGATCAAAACAGTATGATTCTAGAATACAATATGCAAAATTTGTTCAATTACGATGTTACAGAAAAAATACACATTTTTTTAATTAATAATAACACTTTTACCTATTTTTATAATATGGAAGTAATAATACGACAATATATTTCATATTTCAAAACCACTCATTTAATTTTCTAACTTTCTACATGGACAAGATGAAAGTCATAACTTGTAATACAATAAAGCGTTGTCATAATTTGCCTTCAAAGATTATGAAACGCTTTATTGTATATACCAGGTACGTAAATATGAAACCGGAATTTTTTAATAGAAAATACACGTTCATTGCATGAAAATGATAAAAAATATTTCATTCGAAGTATTGCCCAACGCTAGCTATACATTTTTCCCACCTGTCTGACAATTTGTGGATGCCACGCCAAAAAAATTGTTGCTCTTTTGAGCCAAACCAGTCATCTAGCCATTTTCGTACATATTCGTAAGAAGTGAAGCGCTGCTGAGTAAGTGCGTGTCTCATTGATGCAAATAAGAAGTAATCGGACGGAGCCAAGTCTGGTGAGTAAGCCGCATGCGAAAGTATTTCCCAACCAAACGCCTCAATCGTTTCCTTGACCAGTTTTACTGTGTGTGATGGTGTATTATCATGAAGCAAAATCACTTTGTGTTACCTTTTTTGATATTCCGGTCGTTTTTCACACAAAGCTTGATTCAAATCGATTATTTGTTGTCGGTAGCGTTCAGTATTAACGGTTTCGCCAGGTTATAACAGCTCATAATAGATCACACCTTTCTGATTCCACCAAACACAGAGCATTGTCTTCCGTCCATAGCGATTTGGCCTTGCAGTCGATGTCGATGGTTCGCCTGGAGTTACCCATGATCTTTTACGCTTAGGATTCTCAAAATATATCCACTTTTCATCGTCAGTCACAATTTGATGGAGAAATGACTTTCTTTTGTACCTGGCGAGCAGCATTTTGCAAGTGGTTTTTCGGTTTTCCTGCTGTCTTTCATTCAGTTCATGAGGAACCCATTTTCCCATCTTCTGGATCTTTCCCATGGATTTCAAACGTATGGAGACGGCTTCTCGTGTCACATTCAATTGATCCGCGAGTTGTTGTTGAGTTTGAGCGTCATCCTCATCCAACAATGCTTGCAATTCGCTGTCTTCAAACTTTTTCGGTGGTTTTTTACGTTCTTCTTTTCTCACGTCAAAATCGCCAGTTTTGAATTTTTTAAACCACTCAAAGCACTGTGATTTACCAAGAGTATGCTCACCGTAAGCTTCGACAAGCATTCAATACGATTCTGCAGTAGTTTTCTTCAAATGGTAACAGAAAATCAATGCTGTTCGCAAATCGTAGTTTCCAGGCACAAAATTCGACATATTTAACGCTATTACAAACTATACTTTTGTATGAAACTTGTATTGTAGTGAGTTGAAAATCTTTGTCAGAACAAGGAAATGGCGTTAATGACGCGGTCTGACGGCAACTACATTGACAGCTATAGCCATCTATTGGTAAATTCCGGTTTCATATTTACATACCTTTTAGAATGCGCATTTCATGTAACAAAATAGCATTACGCAGCAAAGAATACAGTAGTAAAACTGGCGATGCACTCTACAGTAAAATAATAAGTATAATAATAAGTATATATATCTTTATATATATCTCTCTCTCTTTATATCTTTGTATATGTATTTTTATATTTAATAAATATTTAGTTGGCATATTCAAATAGATATTTATTTAAATTTATGATATTTTTCTAAGTGTACAGTTATCGCATTATGTCGTATATTCATAATAAATAAAAAATCTAATTAACTTCGTTTTTCTTCATTTTACCTTTATCATTTTTTGAATGCATGTACGTTCCCGTTGCACTTCAATTGGTACCGCCATTTAAAGGGGTTTGATCATGTGAACCAATGAAAAGTTGTCTATGGAATTGCCAGACTCTGTATTCTAGGGACACTACATGTAGGGGTGATCCCGATTGATCACTGCTCGATTGGACACCACCAATCACAGCGACCGATGCTTAGGAGCTTTGTAGTCTCAAGCGCTGTGAGTGGCTCGTGTCCAATTGAGCGTGTCCAACTGCGTGCCACCCCTACATGTAGGGTCCAATTGATGACACAAGTCGACACAAGTCGGCACAAGCGTCGTTCTATCCTTGTTGACATTCAGAGAGTGACAAAGATAGAACGACACTTCTGTCGACTTGTGTCGACTTGTATCATTAAATGGAAAGCATCCGTAATCAGCTGCGGTCACAATATGGCTGCTTCACTTAGGAGGGGATACCCAATCAGAAGACATATCAGACTACCAATCAGAAACTCGGATATCAATGTCGCTTCTTTCTCTATATATAGGACTCTAGTA